TTTATCAGGAAATTTATCCCATTAATTTTTATGAACTTACTTTAGAAATTGATGCTGCATGTGTGCATTATTTGAAAAGCCTAATCTTTCTTTTTTTAATTAGTTATGTTAACTTGTTCACTTTCTGTAACAAATTTCGTTAAATAATTAAAGTAAGTTTCCCGTATGAAATATAATAGATGCTATAGAAATGATCAATCTCTAACGTGCACATTATATGATTATGCCGTGTAAAGGAAATAAATAACTTTTTTATGCTGTAAAAGAAAATAAAAAAAAAAAGAAAAATTATTTATTTTCATGAATTATTACAAACAAATGTGAATAATTTCTTCACTAACATTTACCGTTATCACATTTAAATTTCATCTCAAAAATTTGTATAGAACTGACAGAGTAGAAAAGAGACGACGAAATAGCATGCAAAGGAGAAAAAATAACAGGCGATGAAATTATTGTATAAACCACTCAATGATGCTTGGAAAAAATTTATATGTTTACTGAGCCGAGCGCTGTTTGATCTTTGGGTTAAGCATGATTCATATTTTGTCCAGATGGTCCGCTCCGGCGGACCGAGTAGTTCCGAGGAGGGGGGTCTATGACCTTGAAATACCCGAAAGATTTTTTGGGGTTTTGTAATGCGGGTGTGTGGAATAGTGCTCATGTATGAAATCGATGGAGTGAAGTGTAGTGGTGAGGTAGGATTGCTAATGAATGGTCAATATTGGACATTGCATAGAGCTATGGGAGTCAGTGGGCCCTTTAATATCTACTTTATTAAGCAGACAGTAAAGACGGGAAATTATTCTCCAAGAAACAGTCTGAGTCGTTCAAATGATTTCTTTAACAGAGTTTCAGTATAGTTCCTGATCAATAAAAGACAGCCAACATTTTTACATCGTTTAATTGAATTTGCACAACATTTTATCCATAAACTTTTCAAAAAATTACTTTGTCAATATTTATTTCAACTGTACAGATTTTGAATAGAAGTTTTTCCTAAGGAAAAAAATATTTGATTATTGTCACACAAATTATTATTTTGTATTCTGTCTTAAAAAAAAAGCGATGAATCTTTTTGGATAGCATCTATTACAAATGTATAGATCGATTTCAAAGTGATTGTCTTATAAAATTTTCATTAATGATGAAAATATATTAAAGGATTAAATTTGATACATATTACTTCCAATTTAATTTCACTGCCGTCTAAATTGCGGTTTTCGTTATATTCGATATTTCCCAATGACATGATCCTGAGTCATTTTTTGTTTCCGAATACTTTTTATTACGGAAGAGATCACTTCATTTCGAAGCATTTTTTTTGAACTCTTTAATGCTTATATGTGTGTCTTATTATTAGCTTTCATTTGAAAAACATCTTATTATTAATTTCATTGAAAATGACTTTCGTTGCATTGAAAAAGTTTTTTTCTGTATTTCGAAGTAATGCATGATAAACACATGTCAGTTTGCTAAGGTTGTCTCGAGTGTCTTATGGTACTGAACTATTTCTTCATTTCGACAACTGCTGTTGTTAGTGGAACTTCAGTTATCGTTGTTGCTTGAAATAAGAAATAATGAGGGGAAAAAATGTATAATATTTATTATAAAAAAAACTTTAAAGGAGGCGAATAGATGCGAAAAATATAATAGTGATTGAAACTAACTAATTACCAATAGTCGAAAAATAGCTGTTGGTGTGAATTAACATTTAAAAGTAATCCTTCTATGAAACAAACTATAATAAAGTTGAAGGATAAAAAAGAGGATTACTCAATTTTGGCAAAAAAATATTATATGCGCACACAAACGTAAACAATAAACATTGTTTTCTGGTTTAGACTGTATCAATAGATCGGGACACAGAAACTTGGTGTTTCTGGCGCTTCAACTGGTGTTTGAGTTGTCGTCGGGATAGTTGTAGCTTCTGATGCTTGTGAAGTTGATTCGAGATGTGTATTCGTGAATAAATTCAAGAGATTTGTCTTGTCACCGAATAGACTATTCATTTGCTAGAAAACGATATACAATTCAAAATGTTTAATTATATTTACTTGAACTCTTCTCAAGAGAGTGAAATAGCTCAGTGCAAGGAAGCACCATGAAATTAGTAAATATGAAGTTCATGGACTTTTCTAAAATTAAACTTGAAATGAAATCCCTTATTACCTGTTGAATAGAGGAAGACAGATATTTCTGATAGGCTGTCATTTTCACATCGAACGATTTCAACTCTTTCACTTCGTCTGCTGTTAAATCTCGTACATACATTTGTCCCACAAATATTTTATTATTCTGCAATAAGTCAGCATTCTATCATTTTGCTACTTTTCAATGACTGCAGTGTTCAATCTTCTCCACTATATGACCTTTCACCTTTGAATGGACCTATACCAATAATTCGATTTTCGCCAGCAGTACTTTTAAAATCAAAAATTGTAGAAGTACCTGAACCATGCAACCATCGAAGTAGTACTGAGTGGTATCAGCAGCAGTGCAGAAAGATGGTTTTTTGGGTGGTTTGGGCAAATTCTTTTCTGTAATAGTCGATAAAATTTTGGCACCCTTCTCGCTTTGCCGTGCTATCTGCCATCCCTTACGTCTCTCTTCCAACGATACCTTCAGTTCCTGTAGAGGTGCGTGTACTTCAAGTTTATATTCCACCATTTCTTAATTCTCATAAATTTTAATCATTATTGCCTTTAAAAGCATATATTAAGGTAAAATAGTTTAAAGATTTCCAGTTTGATAAGTATGAAAATGATGCAATTTTAAGAAGAGAAAGTGACCTCCTTATATTTATTTGATTCTTCGACGTATTGTGCAAATTCTCTTTGTTCTTCAGCGGTCAGTTCTCGAAGGAAGAAGCCATTAGCAAACAGTTTATTATCCTGTAAATTATGATTTCTTCGATGATCAACTAAAATAACTCTCAACCATTTTAATAATTATAGTAAATGCTTCCATATGTTTCAATTTTTTTCTCAACTCCTGCAGTTTCGTTTCACCACCTGGAGTGCTTTTTCTTTACTCAATGCAACATCTTTCAAATATCTTCAAAAATCATACTACGACTACACATCCAGCAGTTCCACCAATTCCAGCAACGTTAAATCCAGCGAAACGTTTGTTGTGCCTGTTCATTACGTTTCCTTCCAGCACTGTTATCGTGCATAATAATAAACTGGATGAAAAATAATTAGCAATTTCAGAGAGACATTTGATCATAATGAAAAAAAAAATTTTATATTTGATATTTGATTTTTATTTTCGTAAAATCCATTAATTTCTTATTTGTTACATTTATGAATCGTGCTATTATGATCTGCATGTCAGAAAAGAATTTGAAAATGGAATTGGAAATCATTCATTCACAATAACTACGATTTATGAACTCAGTACTAAAACAATTGTCTTTTTGTCCTTATTTTTGAAGATCCTAAAGAACAAGGTTTAATGAAGGATGTGTGATGGAAGCGATTAATTTTAAAACAACGAGTTTTTCTGCTCTATAAAAATAACGATTTTAAAGGCAATTTTCAATGATGTAATTAAATCTATTATTATTTCCAGTTGTGGCTAAAATATTAAAAAACTATTTGCGGTGATATTTTTAATAATCCGAACAGTGCTTATCCTGTTTTATCAAAATATCGGATAATTAAATACAAATAGAATATGTGCAAATTAAATCCTACAATTATTTTGAGTATTATTTGTACTCGAAAACATATGTGAAAAATATAGACAAAGAAAACTACCATATATGTAAGATGCACAATGAACAATTTTTATCATCTAATCAGTTGGAAATTAATCAAATAAACAACGGAATTTTTGTGAATAATGATTTTGAAGACAATTTTCGATGATGTAAAAAAAATTGTGATTTTGAAGGTAAATTTAAAAAAAATTCCCCGACATCTAATATAGGGAAAAAATATACCAAGAAAGAATTTTCATAGCTGTTTGTGAGGCCAAATTTGTTGCCAGATTATGCAATCCAATGAATTCTGCAAAACAGCATTACAATTGTGAAAAGAAAAAAATCGATGGAAAGCCAACTGAAATTGCATGACAAACAAATTTTAATACATAATAAGCAATATGAGAAATGCAAAATAAAATAAAATGTTTTCGTCAACTGAACTATCACAATAAAAATCGTCAACTATGGAAGGATGAAAAAATTTCCTAATCTTCTCCTCACATTACTGAAGAAGTGATATTACACGATTGTTTAAAAGGAGCCAAATAAACGACTTGGAGATCAAAATAATATGTTAGCTCATCATCTTTTATCTGTTAGGCTCCCGATAAAAGGTTATTTTTCTTTCAACTTTACTTTTTTCCCAAAAAAAATGGGGGAAATTCGAAAATTTGAATTATGATGTTTGTATTCAATGTGAAATATTATTAATAAAATTGATATTGTTATCTCAAATGACGAAATTTAAAAAATTTTCGTACAAAACATTGGATAGCCTTATTTACAATTACAGGAATAATAATAATAATGTTAGAAGTATGCCGTCTATGCCGTCCCATTAACTGGTAATGAACATTCTGGCGGTCGTTTGATCATTTATATGTTTTTAAATTTTAGACGAAGAGTTTTCGCCATAAAAGTTATTTTAAAATTAACAAATAATCGCTATATAATCCAAGTGCATTGATGAAATACATAACCAGTATGAAAATAAACATTGCTGGAGTTTTTAATCTCTTTCCAAAAATTCCGTCCCAACCTTTCAACAAAAGCCATTTTCAATTTATTTAATTTCAGTTACGGTTGTAATTAAATGAAGTGAAATAATTTTTTCCCATTCCAAGAAGACGATTCCTTGTCATGTGCACAAAATTGTGAAGTAATGCAAAATGATATATCTGATATCTGATAGTGAGGATTGTTTTGGTATTTTGTAATTGATTATAATGAAATTTCTGTTTGTAATTATATTATTTTGGAACAAAAAAAAAAACTATCCTCGTAATCCTTTTCTTACCAAAGCGCTTATTTAATTTAGTGAAATACTGTAGATGATGAAGCAGAGTTCTAATAACAATGATAATTGATCTATTATCACAATATCAGTCTAAAACATAACAAAAATGTGTCATAAAATTTCATAAATCTGATTGAATTTATGAGATTTGAGAAATCTAACAAACGTAATCACTGATAAACTGAACTTAATAAATCATTAAATTTTTATTTAAAATAAAATAATGAATAATGTTGTTTTATTAAGAGTTGAATTTAAAACTAAAACGGAGCATTTCATAAATCTAATTTAAATTTCAAAGTTTTATTGCGAAATCAGATGATAACTGATGTAAGAAACAGCACCGTTTCAGCAACATCTCTTCAAATTAAAACGATCATATGATATTTTAAGTGATGAGAAATACGCGATGAATGAAATGAACTTTGAGATGAAGTGAATGCTATAAAAAATTGAAGGAAATAAATTCATTGAGAGTTAGTCCTCCAAACGGATATGGCAGCTTTTACCTTTAAGACAAACAGATCGATTAATCGTCTTAAAAATAAGAAAACAACCGCACTGAGTCGCTATTCCACGAATAGATATGATCAACAATAGCTTCTCGTTGAGTAAACAAAACATTAAATGCTACAAGTTAATTCTCCGGCTCTTAAAACTTTATAAAAATGATATGTGGGGTTGGATTTTTCAACAGAGAGTCAATATTTCCTCTCTCAAAACACTTATTTCATTTTTTTTTTTTTTTCATCAATGAACAAAGAAAACCGTTAACAATTTCATTTGAACAAAGTTTGATCTATAACTCTTTAAAAATAAATGAATTGAGCAACCATTTTATTTGTTTATTTTATAAATTAAAAAAACGAAAAATTCTTTTTCTTTAATTTTATAAAATTCTGTGAAATTCAATGACTTAGTATGACTCATTCTAAATTTTAATCATACAAAATTCACTCCTTACTTTATATTTATCTTTTTCATTCTTCCTCATTTTTTAGTTTTCAAAACATATTTGTCTTCCAGATAGCTTTTCCCATTTTTTGTTTACAAAATGAAATATAATAATGGTACTTTAGATCAATCAATTCCTCCACTTCATCTTTTTCTTGCAGTTAGTCTTGTCTGATGAATATTATCGGAACATTGTATTGACATTGTACAGTATCATTTGAGTTATTATATCATTTCTTGCTGAACATTTTTTCTATCACATACCTAATATCCAATGATAATAGTTAGAAAATAATTTTGTTCAATAGACTATTGATTGACCTATTGGTGGTTCCGGTTTAATTGAATCTCCGGGATTACGATAAGATATAAGTCAAATTTCACAACGTTCTACAACAATACTGACAATATAAGCAATGAACAGAAATAAATATGATTCAACTCCTTGAATAATATTTTCCTTCAATCTTTTTGTACAAAATTTCGATAATCAGTAGGAAATGGTTGAGAGTATGAAAGTAGAAAAGAGCACATAAATGATGCCGTAATCAAAAATGATAAGTATTGGAGAAGTTATCATCTTCTGATATGGATTCCTCTCTTGCAGTTCTGACAAGATGAAATATATAAAGTCGAGAAGAGAAATGAATAGAAAACAAAACAAACTTCGATTAAAAGAGCTGAAGATAAGATGTACACCAACTGTGGTGACCTCTAACAGAAAGGAATGATGTCAGATGTGTATCGATTTTCAAATGAACAATGGAAAGATATTAGATGCATTGAATGTTAGATATATCGATAGATTTTTATCAGCAATTATAATTTGAACTCGGTTTTTATAAAAATATAGCAGTTAGTGAAATTCATTTATCATTTGAGCCGTTTTTCTTTTATTTGTTTTTCTTTTGATAAAATCATTTGATCATTTTGGTGATTTAAATCACATTTCACAGAAGTAATTTGATCATTTATAAAATTGTAAGGAATATTAAAAGGAAATAAAAAACCAAGTGATAATATTTGAAGAGAAATGATTTAAGATAAGTATGAATTTAGAAGCAGCAGCACTATCAGTTATTGAAGAGGAAGTTATCATTAATAAAATTCAGAATGAGAGCAATGAATGAAGAAATGATGCACATATTTTTAGTTGTGGATATTATTGAGAGCATTGACCTATTTATCAGAAAAGATAACATTAAAATCATAAATTGATCGGAAAATTTTATTAAAGTTAAGCAAAAATAAATGCATCAAATTTTTGAGAAAATTTAATAATTAGCAGTTGCAATATTTGAAATATTGAATAATAAATTAAAAAGATTTATGAGTTGCACTTATGAAATGATTAGCATATGATTGGGCTAAAATTTGAGCGAAAAATTTTAGCTGTGAACAATTTTAGATGGTTGAAAGATAAACCAAAGTACTAACAATGATTACATAATATTATTGAAGAGAGTTCGGAGTTGAATGTTTGGTTGTTATTTGAAGTTGGAAATGATTGTTAAATTGTATGGTATTACCCATATGCTATATATGATTTTTTTTCATGAGATAATTGTTGTAGATAAAAGTGAAATTCAGTAGAAATATTACCGTAAGAAATAATGCATATTATTGATATGAAATGATTGAAAATTGTTGAAAAAGGTGAATTTAAGCGAAAAAAATAATTATAAAACTAAATCGTATATATGTCATGGTACTGTATAATGTTTAATCATCCAGTTGTTGTCCTTCTCAGCGCTTTATGATTCATAATTTTTACAATTACATTTCATTTTTCAATGTTCAAAATGATGAAGTACATGGTATAGGGAGAATTGAGATTCTTGTTATTATCTGATGTGAGTTCGTTAATCATCCGTTTATTCTTATCACTGATACGATAAACAGTAATATCGAGAAAATATTGATTATGAATTAAAATTTGGTAAATTTGCCAAACAATGCATCATTAAAACTGTTAAAGATTACTGAAAACTCTTAAACATCTCTTTTACAAGAGCAAAATTTTGAAGAGGGGAAAAAAATTTCATCAGAAATTTATAGCTTGCTTTTTAAAGCATCATTAAGTGGTTATTTGAAAGGTTTCTTCTTGAAAAAAGTCTTTAAATCAAATATTTTTAAGAGAAAGGTAATGGTTTATGATGAAGGGTTAAAATCTAGAAAAATGAATTATTTCAAGTCCCATTCTATTCTTTACATACAAATCTCACAGATATCAGCTTTTTCCACTGTAACGATTACGAGTGGATCAGCAAACAATTTGAAGAGAATTCCTTTAAAAAAATTGATAAAAAAAATAACAAAGGATTTAAATAAAGCTCCAATGACACAGTTTTTTCTTAAAAAATACACATTTTTCAATAAGATGAATCAGTTCACAACCGTAACGTAAACTTTTTTTTGGGTGTCTAATCTTCCATTAAAATTATTACATTTCATACAAAAAAAAAAAAAAAAATTAATATTACAACAAAACAACTCATTTTTCTTCCATTACCTCTCGTTGTCATTTACAGATAGAATGGATTATTTCAAAAAATCAGAACTGATTTCTGAAATTGATAAAGGGGACAACATATAGAGCTAACAATCAGCTTCAATAACAAAAATTGTAATACTTAGAGTCATAGGAAGCCTTGCATTTTGCATTTTTCTTTATAATTTTTAACATTAAAAATGCAAATAACTTGATAAAGCAATTGAAAGATGACATTGTGAGTCTTTTTCGAAAAGATACTTTAAGTGGTGAAGATGCATTGAACAAGAAGTACTGATCAGAGATGTTCGATGGGATGAAATGGATGTCAAGAAAAATGGTAGCATTTTTAGGAGATAATCAACATTTTCTTATTCTATCCCAGAGCCATCGCTAGATAACATTCATTGTACGGCTGTTCACTATTCAGCTGATAATGGTGTTGACCCAGATTGCAATGAATCCTCGACACTTCTCATTCGTTATCTTTTTTTTCTTAATTTAACTTCACAGGAACAGATATTTTAATGCCGTCGAGAAAAATCATCATTCGAAGGTCAGAATGCTTTTAAACAGTTGTGCTACATATTTTACGAACCCTCTCCTCCTCCGTCTGTTTATTGTTAAAATTAGGTCCTCATATCCAGAAAAAAATACCTACCCAATAGCAAAAATAGAAAATGATAAGTCATATGGAAATGATAAAATCCGTACCGAAAAATGGGATATATTTTTAATAACCTAATGAGATGGAAAAATGAAATCTGAGTTTTACAATATCGGCAAAACCAGATCTGTGCTCATAAATTTTATGATCAATGAGCTATCCATATTTTTGATAAAATATTTATTGACAGCTACGTCCATAGTCTCAAAAGCAATAGGTTAATATATATATATGATATGTTTTCCAAACAGAGAACTGCACGTAATTTTAACTATAATTTTTCATATCGAACAAACAAAAAAACTTCAACAGGAAATTCAGTAACAACGTGGAAAGACGATGCTAAGACACGAAATATGAAGTATGCGATAATTTGTGGCGCCGTAAAAGGGTAAGAAGGAACCAGCAGTCTTTTGTTAAAATATAAGTTTGAAAATGATGTTAAAATTTGAAAAGCGATTCAACGAAAACCTTTTGAATGAAACAAGCTAAAACAATCATGTTTTTTATTACATTTGAATAATAATTATTTCTTCTTACGCCTGCGATTTTTTACTGGAGTACGCTGAGGCGGATTTGCCACGACTACGCTACCTTCATTAATCTCCTGAAATGTTGAAACAAAAATTCAGCTTTGGCGACTTGTAAGACTGTAGAAAACTGAAGACAATCCAAACTGTGAACACTGTTAGTTATTGGTGAGAGCCAAGACAGCGCTCGGTCTTGCCGTTTTCTTGTCTCATTCAGTTATAATTTCCGGTTCATAAAAATTATATATAAAAGAATAACCTTTTCAGTAACTTCATTGGTTTCAATTGCGTTCTGTATTTTAGCTTCAGCATCAAAGTGCATCATTAAGTCACGAATTTGTTCATTGAGATCATTTATTGTCTGAAAAAATACAGCAAGTTAAAAATTTCAACTAATAACTGGAAATGACTGGAAATAACTGGAAACGATAACTGGAAATGATACTTACTGCAACGTATTTTTGATGTAGGCCGGTGTTTTTTGCTTCCATTTCTGTCAATCTTGTAGACCACTTTTCTTGATCGGATCGCAACAACTTGTTTAAAGCACGTTCCTCTTCCAATTCTGCCAGCGCCTATAAAAAATTTTATATAACTTGGGCATCTCAAAGATCAGCTTTTTGCGAGCATTCAAATAATTTCAATGATTTAGAGCTTGAAGAATTCACTCACATTCAAGTAAGGACCTTGAAAAAGTCTGTACAAGATCTATACAAGATAAAAAATGTTGTGGATCTACCTTATAACAATTTTACTAGTGGATGACAGAACATTACTAAGTTTTTGAAGAAAATATTACTTTGTTCAATTTATTTTGAGTATTTTGCTGCTTTTTTTCAATAGTGCGCCTTTGTTGAGTACAGGAAGCTAGTAATTTTTTCAATTCATTGCACTGTTGTTGTGTTTCCTCGACTTCTCTTTCAAGATTGTCAACCTATAAATTGAACTTAGATTTTCTTCCTAACATTTCTGCTAAATAGCTAAATGTCATCTTAAGAATTATATGTCAGCGTATTTATATAACGAGATTGAAGAGTTTTCTTCAGCTATTATCAAATGGTACTGAGCACTGCTGATGTCACTGACTAAATTTCTTTTTAACTTTGCAAATTTTATTTCATATAGTACAAAACCTGAGCCTGATTATGTTTCTCTAACGTGCTAAATAGTCGTTCTTGTTCATTCATTTTGGTCTCGTAAAATATCCTTTGATATTCCAGTTGACTCGTAAGCAAGCAAGTATACTCCAACTGAATTGATTCTAATTTTTCGTCTGGATTTTCCTAGAAAAATATAATCTTTGTCAAATTTAAGATTCGAATAAAGTAATTTTTATACTAAAAGTTGAGCTCTGCATCATTTATACTAAAATGTTCGTTAAGAATAAAATGGTTTTCCTGCACCGATTAATTAAAATGAACATACATCGCTATCGCTTACACCGCTTCTTCTGTATTCCACCATTTTACCATCAGGTGAGCTCTGTATCAAGCGATGCACATAATTATCACCAGCGTAATCCCACACACGTTCACCACCAATTTCCAAGGTGAATATATGTGAAGTTGTTTCAAAATGTCTGTAACAAATGATGATGTGACCTTTGTCTCTATTCCGGGATTCATTTGCTAAATAAGATTAAAGTTGCAAAAATGATCATTCGTTAAATATGCGAGAAGATAAATGAAACAATCAAAGGAAAATATACACCGCTTTTGCCAAATAAGTAATATCATCGATTGAAATAATCACCATTAAACTAGGAAGATTTATAATCTACAATTAAGACAAATCTAGGTAGCTCATCAATAACATAGCCTTCTGGTTAAGATGCTAACCTATAAGCATGACCTTCTACATATCGACCGCAACCAATATTTCCACAAACCAAGCATATCCACAAATCTGTGGTTTTTCCGCAGACAGAGCACTTCTGATCCGCCACTAATTCAGGAGTTTGACTATGACGACATACTGGACATCTGAAACTATTAACAGGAAACAGCTTTAAAAGTGTAACTAATAAATAGATGATAAAATTATGAAAACTCAACATAAGAATTCTGCAAGTATTTAAATAAACTACATCTTACGTCGTATCTGCCCACTGCTCTAAACATTCAGCATGGAAAGTATGATTGCAAAGAATAGTTAGCACACCATCATCCATACGCTCCAGACAAACCGCACATGTTGGTAGTTCTGTCATGTTTTCAGCTGGCAGGCTACCACCTGCTTCTTCACGAACCTAAAAAATCAAACTTTTGAGAAATCCAAGATTTAGAAATAAAAGAAATTCCTTCTTTTGTTCTTCCTTCACCCTGATTTTTCTTATGCTATATGTTATGACTTTGAATCCCAAAATTTAACAAATGAACTTTACTACATCCTGCGACTGTAAAGATAATCGAACATTAAAGTAAGATATCTAAAAACAAGAAAGGTTGTTTGCATACTATTTACAAGAACAAATATGGACCAAGGAAATATACCGATTCGATCTTTTCAACGAAGACGAGGGAACACACTTCTGGTTCAATCGCATTATATGTTACACCATTGTATTCATCATAAAAACGAACAGCAGCATCCTAAAAAAATAAAAAATGTAGAAATATATTCATTACAATAAAAGAGTTACAAGATTATAAATACTATCTTAAAGAAAAATAAATATAGTTAAAATGTTCGGCTTAATCTTTATTTGCGCACGTTAAAATGAAAATCATTGAAATCATTGAAAGACTTACATGAGATCGGAACTTAATAATAACCATATACTGGTTTGGTGTTGAATCACGTATCACCTTCATTGCCGTAATATATTGTGAACTTGGAGCAATAAATCTTAGTAGCTCGCGACATGAAAGTAATGATGGAACTCCCAACATACATAATATTGAAAAATCACTTCTCGCAGCTGTTGAGTTCGTTTCTCTGAAGATGGTTGCTGTATTATTTTATTCCTTAGCAACGTAACTATTCCATATTTGGAAAACTGCAAAAAAAAAAACGACGCGATAACTGTTGAAATTTTGAATTCGAAAAAAATGAAAGAACATACTTTTTTTTGTAAAAATGAAGAATCCCTGATGTTTTTTCGACAAATGGATTTCCGGAGAAGAATGAGATATTGCATGTATCTAGAAAACTACCTATGATATTTGGAAAGAATGTGGTTCTCATTCTTCTGATGTATAACATATTGGGAATGTTTCTATCGTATGTGACGTGAAAGAATCATTCTTGCCTAATGAAGTTTAGCCGGTCAGGTTGAATCTGAACCATATTCTCCCAAGCAGAATCAATTAGGAAAAATATGAGCAAAGTCACAAATTAATAAAAATCATTTCGCGCTAACCTGATCCTTCACCAGTTCCTTTTGAAGAAAGAGAAGAACCAGAAGCAACTGTTTGTGCCAATGAAGGTTCCTCTTGATTATCAGGTGTGAAGGATTTCTGTTTATTTAACGCTGTTTGATCTTTAGAGAAAGTTTGTACAATCACTTCGGCATATTTCCGATTGCCCAAGCACTGTGCTTGCATCGATGATTGCCCAACCTGAATGACACCACAATAATATACATTTCAAATGTGTTCACACATACATACAAGATAAAAAAATTTCTGCTGCATGTATCAGCAAGTTTGATTTCACAAATTCCAAGGAACAACGTAACCGATTCTGCCAGTTTGTTCATGGAAGTTGGTAGTGAGGTGTCTCCTTCAATTTTTGACCGCGCATCCACTTTCTTGTGTTTCTTTCCTTCATCCATTACTTTATTTTCAGGATGTATCTTATTTTTCACTTCTAAAATAGAAATTTCTTCAAGAAAACTATCCAAAAATTATTACAGTCATCTTTCATAATGTATCTCATCATATAAATTTCAAGTGAACAAATAATACCGTTAAAGCCGACAGACTCGAAATGAATGAACGGTGCACCAGTTTGTATTTCCAGACGTATTATAATCGAAGTCACTTTACTCATCAACTAAAATAGAAAAAGTAATACTGCTATCGATGAAATGAAAAAGACAAAGATCTAAAAAGTGCAGAAATACACAAAGCAAATTATTCAAAAAGCATAATTAACGCTTTGCAGAAATCAAAATGATTATTCAATATAAGTTTTCGATTTATGACGCTCTTTTAACAGATACTAAAAATTTCAAGTTTTAGAAACTTTAAATTCAATTTTGTAATCGGTTTCGAACGCTTTTTCTTAAGTGATTACCTATGCTCATCCCATTCCTTACCTATCTGTCTCTTTTGATCTTCCCTCCTGATCTTCATTAGCTCGTTGAAAGGAGAATCGAACGAAATTTAACAATTAATTTTAGCGACCATATTCATTTTCATAATGATCGTTGTAATTCAAATAAATCACGGTATCACAGCGATATTTCTGGGAAATTATAGCTAATCGTCTCAAAACCAGAGGTGTTGTTAGGATGATTTGCGTAATTATTTTATCGCCGCAATGTGATTCGTCCAAGCGCGCTAAGAAATTTGATTTTCCTCTTCGATTTGCATTCATTTCATTAAATCAATTAGTTTTATTAGAATCAACTCATTTGAATGAAATCAGCTCATTCCACTGGAATAACTCATTTAACTGGAATTAATTCATTCCATTGGATCCAAGTCATCTCATTTAGAATCAATTCATTCTACTGAAAACCACATTTCAGCATGAGAATAGTAAAAAAAAAAAAGATGAGAATAGGCGTTGAATTATCAAATAAGCAAAGTCTGAGCAACTGTGAGAATGTTCGATGACCTCTACTACTGACGATCTAAGAAGAAACATACGAGAGAGAGAGAGAGACAGAGAGGAGCACTGCTGAGAGATCTTCCCTCGTACAGTTGTACAGTAATCGATGCACAGATTTGCGCAGCATGAGATCGATTTTGCTTTGATGAAAGGAAGTGAAATAGGTGTAGCTGTACTGTTACAAACAGTGAAGGTACTCATCAACTGAAGTTTCTCTTCTTTTCATTCTTTTTCATTTGTTTTATAAATATTAATGTGTCCCTAATGTTGATCGTTTTGAGATGAAATTACTGTTAAAGTATTCTAAAAATATTAGAATATCATATCCATGCTTGCAGAAAATGTTGAAGAGCAAGGTTGGTATTTACGATAAATATGTTATGTATTATTTACCTCCTCTAATACCGTTATTCTCGAATAATGGGATATGAAGAGCAAGAGAAAATCAGTAACAGTTTTGTTTTAAGACAGATTTGATTTATTTTTCTTTCTTTTTCCTTATGCAAGTTAATTTTTTAATCATCATCCAGCCGGTTAAATATGAATAAATGTAATACAATTGCATCGCTATCTTGCGTCATCATATTCTACCATTGCGTCAAAAAGTGACGTTGGCGTTGCTAATTTGCCTATTGAAAAGCACGAATTAAAATATAGACCGTTGTCATCATCCAGCTGGTTAAATGTAAATAAATGTAATTTACATCATCGCACCTTATTTTAACAATTAATGATAAATCTGATGGAATTGCACCATTGTTGGTTGCTGTAACTGCTCCTTTTATGTCAAAATGCGCAATAAAATAATCCGGCGAAATACCAGATCTGTTGAACATTTTATGAAAAATGATCATTCTTAACTTGAAAAGAAGCTGCGATCTGTTTTACATCTTTTCCAAAAAAACTCTACATCTTGCAAGTTACTTATTGAATAACAAGTAACGCAAGCCAGGCTGAATTGTCTCTCCATCGAAAGATCCTGTAATTCCACTAAAACTCCAACTCATTTTTTTATTGGATGATAGCTTAAATTCTTCTGCACATTCAAGATTAGCAAAAAATGATCATCTCTGGTACAAAATCGCTTATAGTTTTTTACGATTTCTCTGGCTTTTCATATTTACTAAGTGATGATAAAATTATTACAAAGTATGAAAAATAGTAAAGGATGGAAAGTTTGCTGAGAATAATGTATGCTTCTTCTACTTTCTGTTTTTCAAGTTAAGCAAGGGAGATAAAAAATCTCAAAGATCCAAAAAAATCCAAAAAAACTTTCAAAAACTTTAAATTATCCAAAAGAAATATTTCAAATGTTGGACGATAAGCATCATTCTTAACTTTTGCTTTATTAAGCGAAGCTTAATAAACAGGAAGTATACTAAAATAGATCCAATCACGATAAGGAGCTAACAAGTTTATTTGGAATTGAGCCCGATATTGCATAAAAAAGCATTGCGGTACTATATGTACTGAAGTAACGGTAGTATTGCGAATGTATAAGAAAAACAAAGAATATATCGTAGTCTGCCGTAAAATAATTATCCGGCATGAAGATAATTAAAGGTAAGAAAACAAAAATAAATCTGTGCAATCATTAATAGGGATTGTGGAGTGAAATGGTATCTTTGTCTAACCTCACTTTGATTGCTAGTGCCAAACTTATATATATATAGAATAACTTAGGCAATAGTAACGAAGGAAAGTAATACAGAACAAAAAAAACGATTGAGTATTTGTTTGTTGACAGAAAAACCGTCCCATAGTAAGCCATATATTATTTTATTACCAATTAAAGTTTTTTTGTTGTTAGCAGTTTATTACTAATTACCAATTATTTTTTCGCCAATTAAACGTATGGCTTGAAATAAGTTAGTTACAACTGTTTTTGCAACTAAAAATCCATTTACTCCCAGGAGAGGATAAACTGATTAATACAAATAATATCTCATCAACAAACTAAATCGCCTCTTCTGGCTTTTTATCACATCTGTAATATAATCCACGCATTATATGAAGACGATGGACTACAATAATGTCCAAACAACGTGAAGTATAGCGTAACCATCCATAATTTACATCACGCATTACACGTTCCACGTTGTTAAATGCATGATTGGCATGCGAGGTATAGTGCATAGTAAGAAATTATGCTTATTATTATTTGCAAAATTAGTGCTATGCTAGCTAAAGAGCCAAAATTGCAAAAATAATTTGAATTTTTTGATACTTGATAAGAAGCAATACATTTTTAGAAAAAAAAAACAGGTAAGCTATATTCTATTCAATTTAGTACGCCTTTTTCTTCTATTGTTGTGCGTGTGTGTGTGTGTGTGTGTGTGTGTGTGTGT